ACCTTTTTCTTTTTAACCCACAAAATGACCGTTTCTAGGGTCACCCCCGTAGGCAGCTCCTGAGACACAGGTTCTCTCCTTCCCTTCCTCTGCCACATTCTTCCACTTCCCAGCCCCTGACGCATGTTCCCGCTCCTTTCTGCTGTGCTGGAACTCTGCCCCCTCGGTCTCCTTCTTGGACTGGTTCTCCCATCCCGTCGAGGCCTTTTCCCTCCAAGCCCACGTAAGGCTTCTCTGCAAAACTCAACCTTGCTATCCAAAGCTGAATAAGCAGCATCTGTGTCTCTACACTGGAAGTTCTCCACAGCGGTGGGCATTTATTTTGTCAGCGGTCACCATCCCTCTTTCCGGATCGGGACACGGATGCCCCAAAGCGGCCGGATGGTTTCCAGTGAGCATCAGAACTGGGAGCGGCAGCCAGGTTCACGGCAGCTGCTCTTTTATATTAAACTACACTGGATGCTCCTAACTCCCGCGGTTTTTCAGTTGCAGAAACTACAAAGAGTGCTCAGTGGATCCTTAGCCAGATCTGATCGGTATCATAATAACGTAAATGATATCAATAGCATTTGCACAGGGCTTTACAGTTTATAAAGCACCGTGTCTTTTTTTTTTTTTTTATCCCATTTGCTCCTGACATAAAAGTACTTAAAGGAGGTATTATAATCTGGTGAAAAAAACAAAGGCGAGGAGCCGTCCAGTAGCTTCTGTAAGTCTTACAGCTGGTAACACGTAAGTCCAGGCAAGAGTCGAACCCTGGGCTTGTGCTCCCAAAGCCGAGGGTCTTTTATCTTCTGTGCTGATTCCAAGATGCTCACGTGAATTTTGCTCACCCTGGGGCCTTGGAAAAAGGACATGTTTAGACCCAATGCCATACCTAAATTTACCTGATTATAAACAGGGAGATTTTTTACCTCCAAAGGTTGGGGAAACAAAGAGGTTGGGAAAGTGAAAGTAGGGAAAAAAAAAGGATAGTGAGTGAAGAAAAAGAGAACACAAAAGAAAAACCATAAAAGAAATTAAGTGAGAGCGAGTGCAGAAATAGACCGTGAGGCGGGGTATGCTAAAATGAGTATATTAAAAAATAAAAAACGCCACAACAAACACATTCTCCCAAAGCCCGCCGGTGCCAGCAATTCAGACAAACGTATAGCAATGAACGGAATGAACACAGCCTTCAATAGCTTGGCTCACCAGATGTGGACTCCTAACAGGGTTCTATAAAATGTAGAGTTATTACAGATTAAACCATTAATCATCTGTTCAGGGACGATCTCTGGCTGTAAAATTCCATTCGGTTTTAAATGGCTAATAATCACAAAGGGATGTGGGCTGTAATGGGCGCAATGATGTCCTACCAATCCTTTTTGCTTTAAGTATGTGTCCCACTCTCCCAGTCCCTGTGCTTTCCCTTCCCCCTCACTGGAGATGCTATGAGAAGGGAGAGGTGAGACACGCCCGTCGGTCCCAGAGGCCTCAGCAGCCCTTGAGCTTCTCCGTAGGAAAATGAAGAGCCGTTGAAGAACCAGAATATTAGGGGAGAGGTAGCATATTGACAAGAAAGGAGGGTGGGGTAGAAAGGACCAAATGAAACAACACAGAACACCCCAACATCGGAGGATACTGGGATGGACTTGAGTCAGCTCCCTGGTGCAGGTGAGTCTGACAGAGCCACAATCCCTGCCTCGATTTGGCTTTCTTCCACTGCCCCGTGCTTTATCCAACAATAATAGCTCAGGAATGCCAAGGACAGAAGAAGGAAGAACTGTGTGTCCTCACAGGGAGGGTCATTGGAAACTGAAATGGGAGTCAGAAGGAAGCACTTTTCTATAGAAATTTTGAGATTCAGAGGGGCACTTTCCCTACTCAATGCTAAAGCCAATGGACCACCCTTCCCAACCCTCCTAGGACAAAAATATACAACCTCTTCAACCTCCTAGGACAAAAATATGAACCTGGGGAAAGGAGTAGATGGACTAGCATCTAGTCTTCAAGGAATTTAAAGCCTGATGGACAAGATGCCCATCTGAATACGTCATTCTACTTACTTAAGATCCCCCAATGGCTCCCCATTACCTAGAAAATAAAGTTCAAGAGTATAGCGTAAAATAAAGCTCTCTATGACCTGGCCCTCCTTACTTTATAGATACATTTTTAGAACTCCTAATCTCATATTTTGTGCCCTGGAATTAGGAAGCTCTGTGTTTCTCACCCAGACACCGCAATGTGTCCTGTCTTCGGCCTTTGCCCATCCATCCCGAGGCACGACTCCATCCATTCTTCCCTGCTCACCTCCACTCATCTCTAAATCTCTGTCTCCTCCACAGAGTGGTCCTGAGCCCCAGGATATGTGAAGTCTTCCTCCTCAGCAGCCCCACTGCACCGGAGAATGCCTCTTTTGTTCGTTAGCATGACAGATAAGAGCACTAGCTCAGCTTAAGTCAATTTAGAGCTCCAAATGGCAAGAGAAGACAGAAAACGGAAGGCAGAGATAGGGGAGGGAAGAATAAATTGTAAAGTAACTGGAGACTGCTCTAAAGGCAAATGGTTAACGTGGGTGAGTGGCATTTATCAAGGAGCAAAGTCCCAGCATAGCTGAAGGCTTTGGCTGTTTACTAAATCGTCAGAGAGAAATACCAAGAACGAGAGAAGAATTTCCCAGACCTGCCCGTAGAAAAGTGAATTGTAAGGATTACATGGAAAGAAAGAACGTGCCAGGATGACACTGCACTTGAAGGTACCTGTTTAAAACTCTGAGACAAATAAGAAAACCTCCCAAGTCCCTGAGAAAGACTATAATACTCGGTGTGTAAAGGAGAGATGGGACAAGAGTTAAGAAAGTTCTCATTGTGGCCACCATTTGGACTTTCTTTTTTATGACTTGATCTGGATTTAAATGCAGATTTATGTTGCTAGCTAAGGTATATGCGTATTTTTATTACTAATTACTGTTAGTGACACTTTTTCAGAACTGCCTTTAATTTTTAAGCTATTAAGTGACTTTTGAAGCTGTCTGGGCTCTACCTAGGCAGTGAGAGTAAGAGAGCGGGGAAGGGGGGATTTTATTTATTTTAGGTTCTGCATGCGTAAAGTCATTAGAGAGACCTTCACGTTTTTACGAGTCTTGTTTCAAAATGTTCAAGAGCATCCTTCCTGATGGACCACTTTGGGAAATTGTTCCTTTGTATCAAAATATGTAATTGAGAGACGGTTCAATACGATCAGAAAAAGACTGGTCCTAGAGGCCACCCCTAGATCCTGTCCAGGAGAAACTCCTGCTCAGGGCCGTTTCCCTACGAAAATGGATGAGTTCTCCGCAGCAATCAATGCCCCATTCATTCCTGAGTCACATATGTGGTGCTCCTGATGAGAGCGCAGTTCCAATCTAGTGTGATTTAACAGTGTTTAAGGGCCTTTGGGGGCTCATTAGACAGCGAGTAGTTTATGCATTTATTCTATCCAAATGGGAGTAAGTCCCATGGAAGGAGGATCCCGTCCACTGCAATTCCATCAGGAATGGCCAGTACAGTCCCTATACCAGCAGAGAGCGGAAAACACCCTTTGGGTTCTCTTCTGTAATTTGTCCTTCAGACCAAGAACAACACGAAGCTGTAATTGGATTTTCCCTCCTTTGTCCCATCTTTCCTTCCTATTCCTTCCTCTCAAGACACACATCATTTATTGCAGCAATGCTAAGCTCAAACATCAATTTTTCTCCAAAACTGATTCCCACCTAAAACTTTCCTGTTTCCTCTACTCAACTACAGCTTTTAGTCTGTGGCGCCGAACACATGGTGTTTTGAACTGTAACTGTTCACTTACCAGTCTCATCTCCCTTCCTAGATTATAAAGTCTTCAGAATACAGAGACCATGGTTTGTAAAGAGACACTAACTATAGTTACAGCAGAAAAAAGGGACCCAATGATTGTCTGATAAATGTATCCACTCAATAAATATTTATTACGTACTTACTCCATACCAGGCGTGACAGGCGCAGCTCCGCTCTGGACATGGCTCACAGCTGAGTGGCGTGCAGAACAGGAGCAACGCCATCTCATGTGTAACTGATGTTCAACAAACTTCATAGAACTATAATCTGAATATAACAGTGCCCTGAGAGGAGGCTCCTAACATGGCATAGGGATCTTCAAAGAAAGAACACTGTTAGCTTCCCAAAAAATTTCCTCAGGGAAATGGTATCGATAGCTTAGGCAATAAAGCTTAGCTTAGATTAAACAAAAGCGTAGAGGATGCTGCTCTGATGACACGGTGTTCTGAAAGAATTCTCCCAAATCAAGAATCAAGTCAGATTCTTTTTTGCCTCAACAATTGACCTTAGTGATTGAACGTACACTTGACTGAAGCGCCTTTGCTCTCAGAGAGAGGCCTCAACACATCAGCCACAATAGTATAAATGAGTCATGGCAAAGCCCACTGCTTGTTCACAGCTGCTAGTCTTCGGGGAAAGAAAAAAAAAAGGAAAAGCCAGTCTTCTGGGCCTTAATGTTCTTAAAATTCTGAGAATTTTGTTTCATCTCAAATAATGAGACTCTTGGGAACACCAACCTTGGACAAGGTAAAAGAATACAAATGTTTTAGATAAGACACAACCAGAGATGCTGAGCCACTTTTAGCTAGAGCTTTCTGTATGTGCCAAGTCAAAAGTACAAAATCCAACTTTACAGGTATCTAGTTCCTTATGACTCCAAAGTCCTTTCATCTGTGTTATTTTATTTCATTTATAAAGCACAGCTACCTGAGACATAAGGTTCCCCATTAGATAGATGACAAAACAGAACAGAGCACTTCAGTGGCGAACCCAAGGTCATGCAACCAGCTTAAGCTCTGACCGACACCTAGGACTCTACTTCAAGTCCAGTCTTTTCTGCTGCCACCTTTGGTCTCATAGAGCAAATTCGACAACAGAGCCAGTCACTGAACTGGAAAATTCGTTTGTTCTTAGACACTCAATGCATTAAAGGGAGCGTAGGAACTTTACCTCTTTGAGGCAGCCCATGAAGTTGTTGCTGACGGGTGAGCCTGGCAAGTCAGCAGTACTGGGGCTTCCTCCCACATAGAAGAAGTCATCCGAGCCCAGCATGGTGTAGTCCTCTTGAGTGTAGCCCGTCGTGGTAAGGATGCCATCCACAGAGATTGTCACCTGGTGGAGGGACAGAGGGACACAAAAAAAAAAAAAAAA